GATATACTATGAATACTTCATGACTGGCTGATTCAAGGTAACTTTGATGTAAAAAAATTGCAATGATCCTTTAAAGAGTTTTCTTTGTGATTACAATAACTAATTCAGCTTATTGAGTGCATAACCAAAGTTCAATGTATATGCTCCTTTTTGATGATTGTCAGAAGCAGAACAGTTGCAGTTTAAAGCACAAAAATACAATTGATTGCCCTAAATAGAGGATGGTCATTAAGTTGCTAGCCCAATTTGCATCATCTCGTGACAGCTCCATCTTGGGGTTAATTGGAGCTGTATGTGGCCAAGAAAGGACAGGTCCACATCCAGACACAGAACAAGGGAATCCCCTTGACATCACATAGTGGGATATTCCAAGTGTCTTTTGCTCTAGCCGCAGGAGGTGAGGTGCTTCCAGGAGAAAGCCCTCAAACCACAGCTCCCTCTGGTGTCGCAGTGACAATGAACAGCTGGCCAAAGCACAGATGACACAGTTTGCCACTGCTGGCCTAGACCCTTGACCCCAGCTGAAGGTGTCTCAGAGGGTCTTCCCAGCTTCAGAACACCTGGGACCTTCAGTAGCAATGGCTGGGTCCCAGTGTAACTCTCCTGCTGCCCAACTTTTTAGTAGCCTTTCTTTCACAGGTTGCTGACCGTAACAGCACTGCCTAACAGTTCCCCAAGACAATCTGCTTTCCAGGAGCCCTAACAGAACTGCAGGCCAAGATGTGGTACAAAGTAAAAATGGACAACAATGGCCTTAACTTCCCACTGTCTGCACAGTGAGCCATTTGAGAGGGCACCAGCCCTTTCTCCCTCTGGGAGGTATTGAATTACTTATACTTGTGGACATCCATCAATCCCTAAGGCACTCAAATCTCCAGGGGCTTAGCAGCATGTAATCCTAGACAAAGCCTACAAGTAGCTGAAATCCTAAACCAGGTGATTGAGCACAAATGTACCTGATCATCCCTTCTGACAAGGCCACTTTCTCAAACAGACCCCACAAAAATCAGGACAGCAGAGCAAGCAAGTTCTCTGCCCTGGAACAGAAGTGCTGCCTCTCCTGTGATTTCTTGCAAGCTCTACAGCCACCCGTGTCCTCAGGACATGAATGGGAGGAGGAGTACGGTGGACCTTCTCTCACTGGCTCTGGCTCTAAGCAAGTGTCTGCTTTTCTACTAAACTCACTCAGAGATATTGTGAACTTCTCTTGACCTGCTGTAGCTAGCAAAGGAAAACTGTCTTAGTTACTCTTCTCTTGTTGCTGGGACAAATACCTGCTACTCAAAATTAGGGAAGGAACGGTTTATTTAACTCATAGTTACTGAAGGTTTCAGTCATACTTGGCTGGCTCCAAGGCAGAGTGGCACAGGGCATAAAGAACTGATTCATGGCAGCAGCAAAGAGCAGAGAGCAAAAGGAGTGGAGGCAGCACAGGCAGCCAGCTAGCCTCTCTCCCCTCCTTGCATTGTAACAAAGAGTATCTGCCCCAGGGCACTCACACCCATAATCCCAACATTGGATCAAGAATCAATCACAGGTATTTAAAGTGTGGTTTTTATATTACACATTGCTGTCCTCAATGTAGTTGCTTAGTTCAGATATCAGCGTACAGTTAGTCAAGGTTAGGATTCTACACATTAATAACTATTTTTAAAAAAAAGATGGAAATTCTTAGTACATTCACCTCAGCCTTCTTGTATATACACTTGCATGTTTCCCCCTACCTTTTTCCCTATCTTTTCTCCTTTCTCTCCTCCTCATTGTTTAATCCTTAAATTCCATTTTTTCCATTTAACTTTATCTGTTGTACCTCTAAGGTTTTATTTCTTCTTTTGGGTTCTTATACTAAGGAGACTGTATGGTATTTACACATGTAGGTCTGATTTATTTCACCTATGAGTATAGCCTCAAGTTGCATCCACTTAAATATGAAGGCTTCGAGCTTGTCTTTCTTTATAGCTGAGTAATATTCTATTATATAAAAATAGCACATCTTTTCATCCATTCCTCAGGTGATGGGCATTTTGGTTCTTTCCAAGATTTGGCTAAGACAAACTGTGCTGCTATAAACATGGGTGCACATATATCACTATATGATGTTTTCAGTTCTTTTGGGAAAATTCCTAGAAGGGGAATAGCTGGATTGAATGGGATTTTCAGTTCTAATTTTTTGAGGAGTCTCTACACTGATTTCCATAATGGTTATAAAAACCCCCATGCTTTAAATACTTGTCATCTTGGTCTTCTAAATGTGTACTGTTTCTAATGTCATATCAATTACTACTATATTCTGTTTAAAATAATTATTTTACAAAAAAAGTAATAAAGGAGAAAGAGACAAGAATAAAAATTTAAGATTTCATGAAATCTTATGGTAATATTCAATCACATGTCCAATCTTGCATAACTATATCTGTTAATCTGAGCAACAGATTTGATGATAAAAAGATAATGTATCAATCATTGTTAATCAACTATTCTTGTTTTGAAAATCTGTAACATATGTAGTGTTGTATGTTACCCTGTTTCTGTGTTTGCTTTTCTTTTTCTTGCTTTTGTTTTTACTCTTCAAAATAAATGAAAATATAAAGAATCTTCCAGAAGCTACACCATGCCTGCATGAAGCTTTGGTGGGGGGCAACTAGACACAAACCATAAAAGAAACCAAATGGGACTCCTCCTGGACATCACTAATGTCTATAGAGAGATTAATTCTGACTCATTCCAATCATGGTTTATTCCTATTGAAAGGCTTTATAGTTAACTGGACATGGACTTGAGCCCTGTGATGAAGAAATAGACCCTGGAGTCTATGGGTCCTAGCATCAGGGAGAGGAGGGCCTGGTAGAATCAGTAGCCAGTTGTTGGCCAGAGCTGACTCCTCACTGTGGGACAAGATCAGAACTGTCTCAGTAGTCCCCAAAACATCTTCAGTGTCACCAAGACAGCATGCTGAAAGATCAAAATGGAGGCATTCTCTGGGTCATGGCTTCCTTACACTGGTAGGAAGATCTCTAACTTTCTAAGAACTCTAGGACCTGGGCAGAAAAGATGGCAGAAAGAGCCATACTCTCACATAGACAGCCTGGCTGTGAATTGTCCTCATGCTCTTCCACAGTCAAGGGGGCTTATTGTGCTTAAAAAGTAAGCACAGAATCAGGAGGCCCACCCACTGCTCTGGGAGACATGTTTTCTCCTCTCAGACCCCTTCTCCTTAATTGAGCTATGTGACATTGTGAAATTCATCTTAGACGTGGAACATGACAAGTGAGGGTCCATTTGGGACAGACCTTTGCACACCAAACATCTGATGTTTCTTTTAAGAATATCTTACATTTCTTTATAGATTTACTTTTTTTTTTTTTTTTTTGAACCAGGGATTGAACTCAGATCCTTGTGTTTGCCAGTCAAGCGCTTATCCTACTGAGCCATCTCCCTGGCCCCCTAGATTTACTTTTTGAAAGCACATTCATGTGTAGTAACTCAGCATACACATGTCCCCAGTGAGGTTAGCTAGGGAATAATGTAACCCACACATTTTCAGAAAAAAATATTAAAACCTAGAGTCATATAAAGGACATGAATTATAAAACAATCTTATAAAGGCATTCAAGTTGAATCATAAAAAAATGATGACATTGCATGAAGCTTGTGCAGAAGTTCCTAGAAATAGGGTCAGCACAACTATAGAGCATGAAATAAACCTCGAAGTATGCTTCGAAACTCCCTTTGACACAAGCTGTAGGGAGAGAGATAATATATTCAAAGCCTGATAAGAGAAATTGAGAAAGGTCTTTCACCTGAGATAAAGTGACTATTAGTCAAGAATATAAAAGTCCATCATGAGAACTTTAAGCCAACATGTGATTTCTCATGCAAAAGTAACCCTAAATACATGCCTTCAGCACACTGCAAGATGCAACCACCCAGGACAATTTGGGCATCCCTCTCATCTTCTGAAATGTCTGGTCTACTTATTTTCTCATGAGGAGTGGGAAAGAACTTCATTAAAATAAGATCCAGTTGATGGACACCAGTTTATCTGAGGTCCTCTGGGTGCTAGATATTTGCTGGTACCAGCTATGCGCAGGCCATAATAAGAAACAGACCACCAATTACCTATACTACAGGAGTGTATAGGTGACTAAACCCGTGCACTCTGAAGAGCATGCGGAACAACTGCTTGATCTCAGAATTATCCGGGGTCTATGTTCTGTTATATACATAGCTGCACGCAACTGCCTCTTATTGTGTTAGAGTCATGCACTGACTCACTCTTCTAGCTGAATTAGGAAGGAATATGAGTTTTTATCTGTGCTGATTGTGAATCTCCCCAAACTATTCTCTTAATTCTATACTGTGACAATGTCACACAGAAGCCAAGGAGCATTATATCCCATAGACTCACTGATCCTCTAAAAGTACAAGGTCTCTAGAGGAGGAGCACCCTGACCTCCACATGGCACAGCAATCCCTTCTCCAAAGCACTGACAACTAGTCATACAAATGAGAGTAGAGTTTCATTTGCTTCCTTTGTGTGCACCAAAGTGATTTGTTTCAGCACAAATCCTGCAGCATCTGATGCTCTGGGAAACGGCAATCTGCTGGGTACATTTCTGGGGCGCAAAACTGCTTCTGGAAACCCCAGAAAATCCCCATGCCACCTCTTTGTAGAACATGTTCATAAAGCAGATGTTTCCTGGTTTTAATTTTTATGAACTCTCAGGTGGATTAAGCTAAACATCTCCAAGCTTTATTCATTACTGCTACTGCAGGTAATTTGTGCCTGTGGTAACAGCAATTTGGAGTTATTAATGGAAATGAAGGATAATTAAAAACAACACAAACATCTAAACCAAGCCAAGGTAAAATATAAAGCATTCACAGATTAACGTTATCTAGGTTTTCTTCTTTCCAGCTAAAGAACAAATACTACTCTGGTTGCAATAATAAAATGCACATTGTCACACAGTCTGGTGTTGGACACTCTTTGAACCTACCTGCAACCCTTCAATAGCCAGTTTAAGGATCGAAGGCGTCAGTTTGGAAGCTTGTTTGAAGGAAAAATTACTCCAGTCTATAATTAAAATGAAGCCATTTATCTGAAGCTCTGGATCTTCAATGAGGACTTCCAGGGACAGCAGGATGGCACGGAGGATGTCTGTGAAGGAGTTCCTGTGGCAAAGCAGAAAGGGGAGTCGTGTGTCAACATGAGCGTGTGACAGGCAGCACATGATGGGTGGACTGCACACTTCGTGCAGCAAAGCTGGCTTCCTCCCACCACTCTTCCATGAGTCCAGTCTGCAGAGTCAGGCTGGGTTTCAGTACTAAGAATGACTGAAAACGCATTACAAAACTTCCCGGTAATAGTGTTCTGAAACTCCCAGAACAGGTGCCTCCTTTCCATTTGACTCCACCAGCACCTCAGTTTTAATGAGGCGTCTTTCTTCTGCACTCCCACGGCTCTCTGTACTCTGGCTCCTTGATAGCATTGGTTACATTCTGCTGAAATACATCCCATACTCTTGTCACCCTTCATGGAGCTGTGACACCCCGACGGGCAAGAACAGGATCACATCCTGATAGCGTCTCCAGTACTGAGGTGCTCAATGCCAAACAAATGAGGTGAGACCTTAATCAGAAGAGCTTACTTGGATTAAACATCTTTTATGCATTTTCTGCATGTAAAATCTCGCTGTGAGTGTCAAAACATCCATGCAATTGATGCCATTTTTAGCTTTGATTCATGGATAGAAAAAAGTAAAGCACAAAGAATAGCTTATTTTCACTGTAGGTCTGTGGAGTGTGATTCAGGAGGGAAATCACTGAGTACATCAGTAACTATGGCAACAGCAGACCTGAATACAAGCTATGTTGACAGTTCTCTAGTGTCATGTGCGTCCCTCTACAGCATATATTCCCACTCACCAGTTGATCTTTGTTTTCAGTGACTTCCAAACATGAAGAAATGAAGGCATATTGACCAGCTATTTCGCACAGCAAATTATATCTTCTACACATTGAAGATCTTAAAAATCTCTAATTTCATTTTCCCTCTTCGGTGAGCTAGGCGAAGTCTACTATGGTCTCCAAGTGTTCACTAGAACCAGGAGCTTTGTCTAATGAAATCAATGTCAAATGATCAGATTCTTGACAAATCCAGTCTGATTTTGAATTATAAGCAATTGAGAAAATCTACAATTGAACGATAATTTGGTAAGAATTTATTAAATGCTTGTTATAAGCTCAGTATTTTGTTGCCTGCCTGAAGTTATAAATTAATATGTCCTACTCATACTTTCAAAGAGCTTTAATTTAGTTTGGAAGGGGTGAAGATTCATGATGTAAATTGAAAAGTGTTGATAAAATTTGAGCAACAAGGGGAGAAGACTTCATATCAGTTGTGAAGAGTGGACAGAATTCTGACAGATAAATGGGAAAATGGGGATTAAGATCTTCTGGGTGAGAAAAGTGACATTTAACTTAAAAGTGATCTATACAAACTATTTTGTTTCTGCTTAGTTGCTCTTACTAATTCTCCCCTTACACCAAATTAAAGTTCCTCCTCCTCAAACCCACTGGAATTAGTTCTGCTCAGGTATATTGTTTTTTAATTTTTAGAGATATAACATGGAAGGTTTTCACTGGAAGTTTATTTTTTTATGTTAGATTTTTTGTGATTTATCAAGAAAAAAAAGTCCAATCTTCCAGAGATATACTATTTGTTAGGAACAAACATTGATTTAAATGGAACACATGGCCACACACTACGAGTATAAAAATTTCAGGTGAAAATCCCCTGTAGGAAGCTGGAATTGACTATTTGAGCACCAAGGAGCCTGAGGCTGGAGAAACTTTTTGAGAAGGTCACACTTGTGGAGAAAACCAAGACAGAAAGGCAGCCTTAGCTGAAGCCTATATACAGTTATTGAAGTGGTATGAAGAAGAATTAAAGAAAAAATAGTAAATGAGAGATTCAATATAGTACTGCATTTTTAAAAAGGGAGAAAATTCCAGGAAGCAAGTGTGCAGTGTATTGCATTACTACACTACTACCCCGGTATTTCCTTAGCCATGGCAGCCACACATGAGCTGCAGTCTCACTGAAGACACAGTCCTTTTGTCTAGGGAGCTTACTTTGATTGATGGCAGTGACCCCCAGCCAACTAGCAGATTCCCATAAAAAGCAGAGCCACCTAGCTGCACCCAGCCCTGATAAACTCCATGTGCTCCACAGATGTACAAGCAACAATAAATGGTTGTTTTTCATACCACTGTGCTTGTGGATAATCTGTTACACAGCAACAGCTATGTAGCACTAAAGGCAGTAAACACCAAATGCAGAAGAAAGACCAAGCAGAATAAGGAAGGAGACTATTGTATTGACAAGAAGGTCTTCGAAGAGGCTTGAGAGAACACTTTTAGTTGAACAGTAATGTCAGAGATAATTATGAAAACCTTTAGCAAATAACTCTACCTCATTTTTCTCCTCTAAATGGAGATAACTCACATCATATGCCCTCCCCAATATCCATTTCTAAAAAAAATACGTTGAATCTTGTTTGGAATCCTAGAAAGGAGTCTGCATTTTTGGAGATCAAAAAACAGAATATGCATTGGCCATGAAAGAAGTGTGTTATGCTCACAAGAGGATCCCAGGAGTAAAGTAAAAGGATATGGACTCACTGTAGATTCCAAACGCTTAAATGCCTCACTGTTCCAGAGGGACTGGGTGGGCAGGAAAATGGGCTATACCTCCCTGAAATGGGGCTTTCAGTACACCATGAAATGTGGCCCTCTCTCCTACCTGAGCTACAGTTGCTACTTTCAGTTTCTCAGTCCTCAGCATCAGCAGACGAAGTCCATCACTTCCCACTTTGCCATCCACAGCATGTTTCACTCATGCAATGCTCCCAGCTTTTTAAATTTTAAAATATCCATTAGACAACATAATCTACAAAGGTGAACTGCTCCCCATGACATAAAAACACCTCCCCACTCTTTGAGTATGGGCTGAGGATAGTGACTTCTGTAGGTAGAAGTGGGAACAAAGAGGAATGGATAAAAAAAGATGTGGCAGTTTTATACAGTGGAGTGCTGTTCAGCCATAAAAAGGATAAATTTGAGACTTTTCTAGGTAAATGGACACAACTGGGAGATCATACTTATAAGTGCAATAAATCGGACTCATGTGTATAAACATTGTATTGTCTCCCTGATGTGAGAAATTAAAAGATTAAGTAGGTCTAAAATGTATAATAGATATTATGAAATGTGAAGAAATTTTTTAAAAGAGAAAAGGAACTAGGATGGGGGAAGGGGGAGAGGAAGGAAGGGAAAATTAGAGAAAAATGCAAGTTATCTATAGTACTAGTGTCTCTGAGTTTATGGAAAAGGGGTTGTGCTATTATCAATTGGAGAATTTGTATGCCCATATCCTGTGCTCAGAGTAACTGCTTTGAAGATTTGCAATGTGTTAACTATTATTATTCTATTATTTTGTTATCAAATTCTGTTTTATCTTTTTCCTCCATAAAATGCAATTTAAAAAAATCACAGAACCATCTAGAATACTATCAAAACAAAAAAAGAAAGACAGAAAGAAATGGAAAAAAAGAGAAGAAAAAGTAAAGAGAAAAGAGTAGCCATGTAGTAGAGAGAAACCTGACAGCCTCTACTTGAGCCGGATCGCCAAGGCCAAGCTCACTAGGGACAAGTCATGCTGGCAGCACTTACTCTTGCTGTGGTGATGCAAATGACATTTTACTTCTGGGATTTACCTCCCCCCAAATTCTAATGCCAGAATAATCATGAGCAGTATATGAAACCAATTCCAGTTGAAGGATATTCTAGAAAATGCCTAACCACTATAGTCATCAAAAAGACAGGGAAGTCTGAGAAGTTGTCACTGGTAACAGAGCCTAAAGAAAGATGGAGACTCACTAGAATGTGGTCTATGAGTGGGACCCGAGGCAGAAAAGTGAGATTAGGTGTGTATGTGAGTGAGTAGTTAGAATTCACTATTAGTACTGTTGCATAAGTCGTAATAAATATGCTATGTGAATGTTAGATGCTAGTAGGAAAAACTAGATCCAGCCTGTAGGATCAATCTCTGTGCTAACTTCATAATAATTATGTAAATCTAAAATCATTTTAAATACAAAGTTAATTTTTAAAATAGGCCCATTAGAGTCTATAATTTGCCATTATAAGTCTCCATACTCTGTGTTGCCAAGTAAATTAAAACTATAACAAACAACTCCACTACTTCATGAAAATTATAAAATGAAAAAAAAAGATATTTCCAGAATCCCTTTGGCCTATAAACACATTTAGATATGTTATTAAACTATATATTGTTTAATAATCTGGAGAAAAACATTTTAGTTTCTTTATTGCCTACAATCACAATTGAATCAGAGTATTTTAGCATTTGTATCAAAATGAGCAGATGACAAATGGATATTTACATTTCTTTCATCCTTTCTATATATGGTGCATTATTGGCATAGTCTGTTACGAAGGATATGATTTTTACTTTGATCATTTTAAGCTGGAGTATTAAAATGTGTGTAAAAGCACTATGTCAAATGAAAATTGCCCAAATGAAATGAAATGCAACTGCCTTCCCCCGAAATAAAAAACTTGAATTTTCCCACTCAAAAGGCTTCACATTAATTAGGGCTTTGTTGATAACTTTCATGGTTACACTGTGAAACAATAGAGATTATGAATAGCAAACCATTTTTAAGTTCTGGTCTTGATTTTGTGAGTGAGAATCCAATATTATTACTTGGGAAACTAAAATCCAACACAAATGAGATACAGAAGAGTGGGAAAACTGCATACCTCTATTAATTACAAGATATTTATGATCAAAGAAATGAATTCATTTGTGCTTTTAACTTTTAGCAGAGATTTTAGAATCTGAGTCCAGACTCACACACACAAAAAATAGGACCATATGACATCAGGTGACCATGTAAATAAAGATGGTGATACTAGTTCTCAGAAGAAAAAAGTAAGAGCTTTTAGTCACATCTGAAATCCCAGTACATATTCCTGTATTAATTTTACTGCTACAGCAGTAAGTTTGTCAATGTACTAAAGTTCTTTGGGGAGGTCCATCTTGTAACCTCTTATTTGAGTAAGTGCTCATGATTTTTCCCTTGGGT